TGGCCAACACATTCTGGAGTGACACTGATGTGTTAAAGCAGAGTTTCCTACATGTTTCATGGTGCTGCTTTAAGAAATTTTCTCTTTAAAAAACTGTCAGTTCTTGGAGAATGAAATTCTTTCATTGTGGAGGATTTTCCCCACCAGGTAGAAACTCCGATCCTGAGTAATTGAACTTTTGATGTCATAGTGTGTGAGCATACACTCTCTCCTCTGTGTCTTTTCTCAGACGCTCTGTGTCAGTCATGTCCAGCACATACCTTGATTCCTTTACAAGTGACCATTCCTCCCTTCTCAGTAGGTGCCCTCAGTGGTTTTTAGCCATTTAAAACTTAGTCTGAAACTTGTATTCAGTGTATAGTTAGTACTAGAAATAGCAACTATCTTTAATATTCAGTTCACTGCTCTAAGATCACACTCCTGTTCCAGGAGGCAGCAGCATGCACCATTAGACTCTGGACAGGCATCTCACATGATTGCAGTGTGGGAGCTGTCAGTCATCCTGCCTGGGAGAGACTGGGCTGTGGGGAGCACTCCCCTCTGGGCATTCAAGATTACACAGCCTTGCCCATGCCCCATACTGGCTGGAGAGCACCCAGCCCTTTCCTTGCTCAGTAACACCTTTTTCTGGGCAAGAAGTTTTGGAGTCACTTTATTATTGCTGCTGAAGGAAGAAGATTGATCTCTACTGATTTAATTCTCCAATATTAAGACAATTCAGAGTAATGTGTGCACGCACCCACACTTGCCTGTTTTTCTGGGAAGCTCTTGCACTAGGGATTTATAGGCATCTGGGCTGCACTTTGAATGACACACTTGTGGCTTTAGAGTAGCTGTTGTTGTTTTTGTTGTTTTGTTTTTAAATTTAAATTGTTCTTTGTTTTTTTAATTAAAGATTTAATCAGCTAGATTAGGCAGCATCATTTGTATTTAACCGCTGAAACTTTGGTACATTGATGTTTAATGAATGAGCTTGCATTGTGTAGCCAGGGCCTACAAAGGTTCTTGTCAGAAGTACAAGTACTGCCTGAGGTCAGTGCTCAGAGGAGTTTGTAGTGCAGCCAGTTAAATAGCTCCATTAGATGATGCCTAGCTCAGTTGAGAAGGGGGATGCTGTGTACTCTTCTAGGTCTGAGGGTATGCAACTTTGGATCTTAAAATTATGTACACATACACACTTTATATATATGTATGTATGTATGTATGAAAACATGGAATTAGTTTGTCAAATGTGTGTGTTTAGTATTTTAGCTTAGTGCAACTATTTCCACATTATTTATTAAATTGATCTAAGACACTTTGTTCTTGGCACCTTGAATATTAACATTCAAGGGTGCAATGTGTATTCCTTTAGATTGTTAAAGCTTAATTACTATGATTTGTAGTAAATTAACTTTTAAAATATATTTGAGCCCTTCTGTAGTGTAATAGGGCTCTTACAGGGTGGGAAAGATTTTAATTTTCCAATAGCTAATTGAACAAAATGGCTTCATTGTATATTTTGGTTTATAGGAGTCTATAGGTGTCTGGGTCCCAAGGACATCTACTGAGGATGCCTGTTTTAGGCTGGGTGGTGATAGTCAGACTAAACCTAAGTGACTTGGGGAGCCAGAGCACTTTGCTCAAGTCCATAGACTCCTGTATCTCATGCTCCCTTAGGATGTGGAACACAGATCCCATCCATCTTCACATCTCAGTTGGAGAGGCAGACTTTTTCCAGTAGTATTTCACACCTAGTGTTGCTGTGAGTAAAATCAGCAGAAAAAGTAGTGAATGACTGGGAAGATGCACTGAGAAGGCCCAGTTGTCACATTGGTGAATGTACCTTTCACATACTTGTGAGTGGAGGCATTGAGCTTTGACTTTCAGACCCTGAAATCAAGCCAGCAAGTAACAAAAGTCCTTAAGGTTAGAGAAGGCCAGGAGTGCTGGTGCATACCCTGATGCAAAGGTCAGCCTTTGCTGGGTAGTGAGCCTGAGCTACTGAGACCCACTCTCCAAGAAATAAATAAAAGTCATTGGGTGAACAAGGTGTGGTGGTGCATGCTTGAATTCTAGCACTCAGATTGTCAGTTGAGTGCACTACTAAGGAAACTGAGAAAGAGGATGTTGGTCTGCGGAACTCCTGTTCACATGTTAATTAAAAAGAACTTGCTGTCTCCTGAGCAGGGGATGGAAACAGAAGCTACACCTGTTTTGTAGATGGAATTTAGAACAAGGTGTTTGGGTGAAGTCTCAACAAAGTTAGAGGTTTCTTTCAGCTTAAATAGCTAATTTTTAAGAAGTTGATTTTCAGGACTGTCCGCATGCACCTCTCTCCTTGCTGTCGTTGCTCAGCTAAGCAGAACTCATCATCCTTAAACCCGGAGAAAGCTCTCAGAAGAGCGTGGACAAGCTCCCACCCAGAAATCCTTCTAATACTTGGCTTTGATCTTGCTGCTTCTGTGTTAGCTTCCTTCTCAGCTTTTAGCCACTGGGTTTCTGCCTGTTCTGTACCTCTCTGGAAGACATCAGTTTGGAAGTCTACCTTTCAAACCAATGCCATGGCTTCTGTATTGTTGAGCTTGTTGTTGTCTCAGAGGTGTCCCCATTATGCACACACCTGCACATCACTGACATGAGCATTCAACAGTACTGGGATGGGGTGGGGCTCACCAACAGCGCTGGCTCACTTGGCAGGGCCTGCAAAGGCCACACTTGAGGGCCAGATGCCCAGTTGGTAAGCACACTTAGGGAAATTTCTACCTAGCCTCCGTTTTGAATGATTTTGAGAAGTTTTATATATGGAGGATGGAAATGCTTATATATTTATTGAAGATCTTTTTATTTGAAATTAAAATCATTTGGTAAATAATGGTTTGCTATTTGGGGAGGGTTTTGGAGGGGAAGTAACACGATTGATAAAGTACAGGCCTATTGCCTCTGCAGAAAGGCACTGTTGCTGATAGGAGGCTTCATCTTGTACATGATCCAATCTTTGTTTTACGTTTCTTTTATCCAAAATATCTAGGCATCTGACACTTTCAACCAAAATTTCAATTATATACTGTGATTTTTATTTGTTGCAATACATTAAATTTCAGAGGTACTTTGGGGCTCAAAAGCTAGGATTTCTAAGTCAGTATGTGCATTTCACATAATAAGCTGTTAATGGTGAGCAAAGTATTATATACTAACTAGATTTTCCACATCTGTATAGTATATTATATGTATTTTGTGGTATTGAGATTATAGAAAGTTTAGAGTGTCAAACATGCGTTTAATGTGTATTTTTAAACAAATTTATGGCAATTAAAATATTTGGAGACAAGGGTATCACATTTCAATTTGTAAAACTCTTTTTAACTCTACTGTGTCATTACGATGCTTTGTATAATGCCAAACCATAGCTGGAGAAACTAAGTTTAATAAATATCAGATAGCTTTTCTGTATAATGTTTATATGCATGTGCTCTCACTTCTTCAGTTCCTACTGTGATTTCCTCCTAGAGTTGCTCTTTTGTATCTTAGAGTCCAGTCTTACTCTGTAATGGTCTCATCCCACCAGCATAGGTCTCATTTTCTGGGTACAGAAATTTTGTACTCATGGCCATAGGTCCTTATGCATGGATATCAATTGTCCTGCACCAATGGAAATCTTCAACCCCTTTTTTATGCTCTTGAGACATAGACTATTATTGTTTCATTTGTTATTTATTTATTTTTACTATTTATTTGTTGAATTTTGTTTTTGTTTTTCTGAGACAGGGTCTCACTTTGTAGCCTGGCTAGCCTGGAACTCATGATATAGACCTGGCTAGCCTTGAATCAGCAGAGATCCGCCTGCCTTTGCCTCCACCTCCCTGGTACTGGGATTAAAGGCGTGTTCCACCATGCCCAGCTGCGGTGATATTTTATTTGTACTTTAACAAATAAAGCTTGCCTGATGATCAGAATGGGGAACTAGCCATTAGTTAGCCATAGAGGCCAGGCAGTGGTGGCGTACACCTGTAATCCCAGCACTTGGGAGGCAGAGACCGACTGGATCTCTGTGAGTTCAAGGCCAGGGTTGATCCAGTTTAAAAGACAATCAGAGCCAACCGGGGAGTGGTGACACACGCCTTTAATCCCAACAACAGGGAGGCAGAAGCAGGCAGATCTCTGTGAGTTCGAGGGCATCCTGGTCTACAGACACAGTTCCAGGACAGCTATGACTGTTACACAGAGAAGCCTTGTCTCAAAAAAACAAAACAGAGAGAGAGAAAGAGAGAGAATCAGAGCCAGGAAGTGTGGCTCTCATACCTTTAATCCCAGTATTTGAAAGTCACATACTTTTAAGTCTAGCACTAGAGAAATGGAGACAGGAAGGGATATGGCTGGGAAAAGAGAGGAATATAAGGTGGAAGGAGACAGGAGCTCAAAGCATTCAGTCTGAGAATTTATGGAGACAGGATCTTGCTCCCTTCGGACTGAGGATATGGTAGAGGTAAAAAGTCTCTGTAGTGACTGGCTCCTTTACTTCTCTGATCTTTTCAGCATTTACCCTGATATCTGACTCCGAGTTTCTGTTATTAAGAACAATTAGAATTTGCATTACACCCAGCTTATTGTTTTGTTAAGTCAGGCTTTTCTTTGGTTTCTGTTTCATGTTCATAAAGTTATAGGCAAAGTCTTATAGGCCTCAGGTGGCACATGCCAGCCTAAAGAGTTGTTTACAGAGCAAAGAGCCGTGGTCTACTCCGCACAGACTGACAGTTGTTGAGCATTGCCTCTATCAAGCCTGGTGTAAGATTCGTTGAAGAGTGGGTGTTCTCCACACCTCCAAGGTGGAGCAGCTCCACTCGTTAGATAGTGAGTGCTCTTTCCTATAATGTGTGAAGTGGGTCAAGTGTCAATTCCAGACTGCCAGAATTTGGATTTAAGACATTTAATAGTATTTATAGAAAAATAAACTCTGACAAACTTAGTTATGTCTATGTACAACGTCTATGTATCAACAACATTCTAAGAAGAAATGGAGACCAGTTTAAAGCAAGTATCTGTCTTTAAATATTAAAAACACAAGGTTGCTTCACTTAAATGCAGTTAACCAATATTCCATATAACGGAGCACTGTTGGAGCTGACTTTTCCCCTGGTATGGACATCACTCCTGGGCCACACTTAGAGAACAGCGTCTTTTTCTAGCGGGGAAAGAAAAGAAGTGTTCACGATTGGATGTAGATCACCTCTGCTGCACCTGCTTTCCCCTGTTTCATCTGTCCAGTGTTAGGGATCTGAATGGTTCTTGGCTGTTAAGGAACTCTCCTCCATGGAACTTGCAATTCCATCTCTATGCACACCCTACCCCTGTCTCAGCTTTACCCTTGAATCTCACCTCTCCCAGATTCCCAGAGGTCTCTGGCCCACCCTGCACCCAGGCTTGTCAAATACCTGCATAGTCTTGTGATACACTCCGAATCATCCCGACATGAAGCACCAATGGGCCTGAGGGAAACCCCTCTCCAAAATGGGGTCATTCTCCGGGATCTCTTTGCTGAACTCAGTTCTGGTACTGGGGAGCCATTGACCTATAGAGCAGAGGCATATCCACTTCAGGTTGGCAAGCATCCACCCTCTGCCAAACACCCAGGTTGCAGGAGGTATAACAGCATTTCCCAGGGTTGAGTCTGACTTAGAATTCCACAGCCACTACTATATCCAGCATACACAGGTATTCTTTCTTACCTGGCTCACCAACAGCAGGCATGTTATGAGCACTGCAAAGAGTTTGAGCTGTAGCATCTTGGCAAAAGGAAGATGTTGGAGCCTGAAGGCCAGGGGACAGTTCTTGTTTCCTTTTATAGGCTGACATCTATCTGCCTTTCTCATGGTTGCCAGGCGAGGTAGGGGCAAAGTTTGTTTGTAATCAGGATCGATTTAATAGGTTAATATGTACCTAAAGAATGTAATCACAGACTCCACTTGAGGCACATTGTACTTAGTGATCCCTCTTCTGGACTTTGATGATGTTGCTGGTCTGGACCCTTACACCCATCTTATCAGAAGTCAGCATTGTCCCCACCTTCCCTCTGAAAGCCATGTGAATCCAGAAGGGAGACCAGGAGCCTGGCCACACTTCTAAAATAGGCTGGGAGTTTAACAGTGAAGGCACGTATGATGTCGTGGCTTCAATTCCCAGAACCAAGAAAAAGTCCTAAAATATCACTGTGAGTTGATTATAATCAAAATAGAATTCTAATGAAGTCTATGAAGTAATGTTGACCCCTGAGCTTTTCTAGGCAAAAAAAAAAAAAAAACAAAAAAAAAAAACACTGACCTGCTAAGTACAGGCAATTGGATGTGGCCTCTGTTCCTCCTGTGGGAGGATACTTAAGCCGACATTCTACAGTGTCCCAGTCCCCCACTCACCAATGGGCTGTCATTCTGTCAGTGAAGACCTGGCTGTGAAAAACCCAAACTCTGCCTTCCCTCCAGGGGACAAGCGACTACTGCCGCTCGAGCCACAGAGGGATGGATGAATAGCTTTTTGTTTTTAAGAACACGAGGGAGGAGGTAGCAGAAATTCTTAATGCTGCATCGTGTGCCTACAACACCAAATGAATCCTGGGCTTTGTCTTCATCAGTTACCTGGGGCTTCAGCAGAGCATATCTTCTGGCAACCTCGGGGTGGTAGTTGTTAGCCTGTGTCTGAAGCCCAAACATTCGTTGGCTTTCATAGAGATCCCTGTAGGTCCCTAAATCAGCACTTAACTGTACTGAATTTTATGGGCACTACGTGATAACACCTTTGATTTTGAGAACGTCTCACAGCCATAGCCCAGGCTGGCCCAATTTCACAGTCCTGTCTTGTTCTTGGAAGTGGACCACCACACTCAGGTCAAACATGGGTGTTTTAATAAGTTTGGGGGGAGCCAGTCGGTGGTGGCACATGCCTTTAATCCTTGCACTCAGGATGCAGAGGCAGGTGGACCTCTGTGAGTTCGAGGCCAGCCTGGTCTACAGAGTTAGTTCCAGGACAGCCTCCAAAAGCTACAGAGAAACCCTGTCTCAAAAAAAAAAAAAAAAGTTTGGGGGTGGGAAGTTGAATTTATAAAGTAAGGACATACATAAGAGCTTAGATCTCCCTATGACCATAAGAAACACCACACACACACACAAATTACAGAGCGGATTCTCTCTCCCTGTTCTGATGTCTCACTGATAAACCCTTCACGAGGCTCTTCTCATCTTCATGATTGGACATTTGGACAAGAGCCTGTTTGTTTCTTTGCCCAAGCAAAACTGGAGGAGCTGCTGCTGTGCTGCGGGCAGCAGCATGGTCACCAATGCCAAGACAAGCAAATGTAGCTCTTGGCCAAAGGAGAAGTGTGATGGGCCTCACGCTGGGTTTGGGGGCAGAAATCTGTCTTCCCTAGTTCTGTAGAGAATGGAAGTCTCATGGGGAATTCCCCAGCATAAGAGTTGCTGACTAGACCCGCCTACCAAATACAATCAACCAGTAAATTCTAATCTACCAGTTCCAGACCAGTTCAGCTGCTCCCCTTCTGCCCCGGGAGGTTATATACTGGATGACCTCAAGTAAGAGACCAAGTGGGAACTTTGCAGAGTGGGGAGAAGCTTTGTGGTGACCCAGTGAACATTGAGTAAGCACAGATGTGATTAGATAAGCACGGCTGGACAACATGTGTCCTAGAACCTGCTGGGTGTGTGGGCTCAGTGCCAGTCCCTCCTTCACCAGCACTCAGTGACATGTCATTCATCCAAAAGATGGCTTTTCTCCCAGCCTTCCATTTCTGCTGCCTTTTCCCTCAGCAAAATCAAGGCAGCCTTTCATGTAGTTTCTAAAGCTCATCATAGCCCAGTCAAGGGAAATGTATTGACTTGTTAGGGGCAACTTACTAAACACGTGAACACAACCTGCAGCTGGATTTAAAGGGTATTGTGGAAGCTGGAAGTTGTAGTGAGAGTAGCCCAGTGGTCAGGGTGTGTGTCCAGCATGTGCGAGGCTCTGGATTCAATCCCTAGTACTACAGAAAAAAACACAAGCACCTCTCAAACTCTGAGAGGTGAAACAGCACCTAGGCCCTCAGCAGAACTGACGCCAGTTATCCCAGCCTTTTCTGTGAAAACTGACACTGTGCCTGAAAGTTAAACAATCTGTCTGTTCTCCCTCTCCTGTCACATATGTTATTAAATGAACAAAGAGCTACGAGCTCCTTCCTTCAGTTCACAGGCCTCAGCTGCCCTAATTTCAGCTGTAAGGCAAGAACTCTTACAGACCAGGAGGCAGGAGCAGGGTGTCTGACCACAGGCCAACTCTTCCCCTCTTGAGCTTTAGTCTTTGCTCTGACAGTGAGGTGAGAGGCCTCAGACCTCATGAGCACATTTGGGGTCCAAATGGTTAATTTACAAGAAGAGAAAGACAGACAGTTTGCTAGTGAGAGTCTGCTCGCTCCAGGCACAACCCTAGGGATATTCAGGAGAAAGGTTAGAGAACGCGAGGAGCTGTCTGAATGTCTTCAGGGTGGACAGGGGATCATTGAGATTTGGTGGTAATGGGACACTTTTGTGTTGTCCCTGAGCAGAGGGTGCCTAGTAAAAGACGAAAGTCTTAGGAATGCAAAAAAAAGGTTTCCAGGTAAAATTTCAACAAAAGGTCAAAGTGCATTTATTTTTTGACTGTCTGGGCCTATGTCCTGAATACAATACCGGCAAAATGAAGAGTGCTCTCTTTCCCGGATTGCAGCTCTCAGGGGAGAGCCAGGTGAGAGCAGAAGCCTGGGCTTTTCCAAAAAGAGTTAAATGGAGGAAATTGTGTCACAGCCAACAAAAGAGCTGTGGGGATCTAAGACATGGGACCATAGTGATATCTCTGTCCTTAAAAGGCTTGACTCCAGGAGCCAGGGAGATAGCTCAGTTGCTAAAGTACTTGCCACACAAACAGGAAGACCTAAGTTCAGATCACCAGCACCACATAACAAACCAGGTGTGGCAGCAGGTCTGCCATCCTCGCATTGGGAGGTGGAGCGGGGACCCTTGGGGCTCGGTGGCCAGCTTAGCTGGCTTAAATCTTTGAGGTTCAATGCTTTGTCTCAAAATATACAGTGGAAAGTGACAGAAGATGTCTGACATCAACCTCCTGCTTACACGCACGGACGCATGCATGCACACACGCACACATGCACGCTTATCATGTGAATGGGGCAGGGCGTTTCACATTATCCTTTGTGAATCTCTACAAACAGAACAAGTCCCTAAAGAGACTCCAGGTCATGTAGGGTCAGAGTCACTGTCTGGGCACCCTTCACATGGCTGAGCCCTCTGTCCCTAAGCTCAAAGAGGAAAACTCTGTGAGAGACAGAGTTCAGCCATAAGGGACGATTTTAGTCATAAACAGAACCACCCAACATCAAAGCACTGACAGCAGGGTCCCCTCAGCACTCACGATGGGCTGAGGGGCTGCCTCTTCCGTGACGGCCCTTGCAGTCCAAGAACAATGACCCAAGTTTGATCCCTGGTGAACTCAGATAAAGGCGGAAGCAGAGACCTGATCTCACAAAGTTGTCCTCCGACTTCCATATGCACACCGAGGCGCATAGACGCACATACAATAATATATGTATTTTTAAAAGGTCAGACTGAGAGGCTCGTCTCCTGCTGTGAGCTAAGAAAACTGAAGTTAGTCTTCTGAGCTGGTGTGTCCAGAGTCAAGATGGGTGTGGCTATATTTCCACCCCTGGAGGCCTGCAGCTTGTTTCTCTATTTATTTATTTTTGAGGCAGAGTTTCTCTGGGTAGCCCTGGCTGTCCTGGAACTCACTCTATAATCCAGGCCTCAAACTCACAGAGATCCGCCTGCCTCTGCCTCCCAAGTGCTGGGATTAAAAGCATGCACCACCACTGCCTGGCTTTAAATTCCTAAAGGAGTCTATGACTGACTCATGGGTTCTAAGTCACAGGAATAAATCTGGACAGAGTCAAACATGGAAGCCGGACTGGGAATGGGCACAACTCTGGGAACTTCCCTGGGCTCGCTCTTCTCACCATCTCCACTACAGCTGACTCAAACCCCCTTGTGCTGACATGTTTTGTAGACATTTGAGGCTCCAGAAGTGACAGTTTAAAGCAGATATTCCCAACCTGTGGGTCTTAACTCCTTTTGGGCAGGGACCAAACAGTCCTTTCACAGGGGTCACCTAAGACCACTGGAAAAGATATTTATTTACATAATGATTCATAACAGTAGCAAATGCAGTTATGTAGCAGCAATGAAAATGAAGTTATGCTTGGCTTCCCCACAACACGAGGACCTATTTATTAAAGGGCTGCAGGAGTTGCAGCATTGGGAAGGCTGAGAACGACTGACACAGGGCATGGGTATAAGACACAGTCATGCTATATCCTGCCTCACAGTCCATGCAACCTACAGGTTTCTGTTGTTGCAAGTCTTTCTTTTTAGTTTATCTATGTATTTATTTATTTTCGTTTTTCAAAACAGAGTTGCTCTGTGTAGCTTTGGAACCTGTCCTGGAACTCACTCTGTAGACCAGGCTGGCCTCAAACTCAGAGAGAGATCCGCCCGCCTCTGCCTCCCAAGTGCTGGGATTAAAGGTGTGTGCCACCACGATCCAGCTTGTCATTTGTTCTCTTTTGAGGACTTTTGGCACGAGCTAGCAATCATCAGGCAAAAACATGAGTCCAACATTACACTGTGAGCTACTACAGTCTGCAATAATGTCCTTAGCTGACTGACGAGGCCAGAAGCTCAGGACGGCCAAGCATGTCCGCCCTATCATCTCCAGGCAAAGAGAGAACAAGGGCATCCAAAGCTTGTAGGGCAGGTGGTGTGCCTTTCCCATAAAAGGATGAGTCTTTTCAGACCTTGTGGTCCACATACAGCTAACAGCCATGTTGGATTGGCTCCATGACACAAAGCCAACCATGGTTCTGACAGGCATGGGCTGTAGCAGCCAAGGGATGACACCATGGTCTCCTTTCACAGATGAACCCCCTCACGCTAAGGTCTTCCCTGGGGAGCAAAGCAGCACGGCATGGTTTGAAGAACACACACTGGTACCTGGCTCTACCAACTCACTGTCATGTGCTTCTGGGCAAAGTACTTAAACTGTGATTCCTCATCTGCAGAGATTATAACGCTCACTTCAAAGGCTGCGGGGAGTTAAAAGTTCCTTTATGTGGCTAGGAAGAACACCTGACATCCTAATGACAGTGTCATTACTAGACTTTATAGTTATAATGAGAGC